TTCCCATTATTGCGTCTCCATAATGTAGGGCAGGGGTCAGCAAACTTTTTCAGCAGGGGGCCAATCCACTGTCCCTCAGACCTTGTCGAGGGCCGGACTATATTTTTTTTTTGGGGGGGGAGGAATGAACAAATTCCTATGCCCCACAAATAACCCAGAGATGCATTTTAAATAAAAGGACACATTCTACTCATGTAAAAACACGCTGATTCCCGGACTGTCCACGGGCCGGATTTAGAAGGCGATTGGGCAGGATCCGGCCCCCGGGCCTTAGTTTGCCTACCCATGATGTAGGGTGTTAAGTTGTGGGTGAACATATCAGACGACACAGCGATTCTTCAAACAGCTCTTGTTTATTCACAGGCCAGAACAGAACTGAACTGAAGGGTTCAGCCAGCCTGCTTATATAGAGCTCCACTAGAACGCAACAGTAACCATTTTATGTAACTATCCAATCACTGAACATCACTTTCAATCCCTTATTTGCATATGTGGACCTGAGTGAAAACTATCTACAGTATCACCGTGCTGGCCCAGGGTGAGAACTTCAGTACAAAACATAGGGGGGTGAAAATGAGGGTGGTACAAGCTGCATTGCTTGCCATTCACCTGTGCCTTTCCAAGCAATCCTGTGTTGAAACCCAGTCTGGCAGCCCAGAGTCCATTTCTTTAGCAACCCAATTCATTTTTATTGTTTTGGAAAATGCACCTCAAAAAACCTCCCTTTGTCTATTTTCAGATGGTTGTCTTTAGCACTTCCAGTAATCCAATGGAAAGCTGGGGTCTGTTGACATTAAGCTCTTTTGATTCCTCGTGTGTTTGTTTGTCCACTGGTGCTCAATTAAGAGTGAAAAGAGGCCAGTGTGGGGGATGCTGATATTCTTTGTCTTCTTATCATTGATTCATTAATTACAAAAAAACAGCAAAAAACACCCCACCCCCAGCAACTCACAGTTAGCAAAACAACAACCACCAGCTGGATATATTTAAAACAGAGGTTCCAGAAATGGGTGGTACTACCCCTTAGGGGGCAGTAGGATTACCTCAGGGGGCACCAAGAGGTGAGGGGGTGGCAGGGATTTCTGGGGGTGTAAATAAAAGCTAGACTTTAGAAAGATGGTATCCCTTGATCAAGTTCATCCATTTTGTGCAGTTAATTCAACTAAATGGTTCTAATTGACTTTTGAATAAATGTTCAATATAATTATTACTGCCTTGAATGCCATTCTTCCTTAGTGGGTCATGCAAACCGCTATTCTGAAAAATGCTTTTTATAGGGTAGGAGGCATTGGGGACAAGTTTATGGAACCAAGGGGGCAGCAGTGGCCCCCAAATGCTTGGAAACTACTGATTTAAAACGAAACTAAAACATTGCAAAATAGACCCTCGTCGCAAAGACTCGTTTATCCAGTTGGTAAAGCCTGTCGGAATAAAATAAAATAAAAATCAGTTGTTTCCAGGAAGTGTAGATAGTGTGTGCCTGTGTTATCTCAACAGGAATGCACTTCAACAGAATAGGAGCAGCCACACTCAAAGCCCCAAGGCAAATTACCACAGTGGGCTTCTGAGATCTTTGGAGCAGCAACTTTCTGACAGATCGCTGGATATATAAGAGAGAAGGCGGTCTCTCAAGTGCTCGGGTCCTGAGCTGTCTAGGGCCCAACACCTTAAACTTGGCCCAGTTTCAGGGCTGGAGATGGATGCAGGTATAGCACGAAAGATGCAAGGCTCCCTTGTCAATGAAGTTAACTCTTTATTCAAGGAATTGGCATACAACTCAGCAACACTTCCCAGCAGGTCTTGCCCCTATGGTGGAGTTGCCAGGACTGAAGGTCGCTGCCTTCCACCCTTTCTAAGACTCCTCCTCTCTTGGATGTTTACCAAGCAGTCTCAAATGGCCTCTGGCCCCTGTTCTGCCCTCCTCATCTGGTGGGAATCACCTCAAGGGGGAGAAACTGCTGGGAATAAGCACCCTGGCGTCTCCGCTTCTGGGATGCTATTGGGAGCCAAAGACAATGTCCACATGGAAGCGGCGGAAAGATGGCGGGGAAGTGAGAGACTGGGAGATTATGATATCATATAGATACGATGGTGTGCACTGAAAATCGTGCTCCATGTTGTAAACTGCTCTCTAGTCTTTTGATGAAAGGCAGTACACTGGTACCTCTGGTTACGAACTTAATTCGTTCCGGAGGTCCATTCTTAACCTGAAACCGTTCTTAACCTGAGGTACCACTTTAGCTAATGGGGCCTCCCGCTGCTGCCACGCCGCCGCCACGCGATTTCTGTTCTCATCCTGAGGTAAAGTTCTTAACCTGAGGTACTACTTCTGGGTTAGCGGAGTCTGTAACCCGAAGTGTTTGTAACCCGAGGTGTTTGTAACCCGAGGTACCACTGTATATAAATTTAATTATAATAATTGCAAATGAGTTGGCCAAATAGGGAAGGGGATCTTTCAGCCCAGCTTTAGAAATATTTTGTTGTTGTTTAGTCGTTTAGTTGTGTCCGACTCTTCATGACCCCATGGACCAGAGCACGCCAGGCACTCCTGTCTTCCACTGCCTCCCGCAGTTACAAACTCATGTTTGTAGCTTCGAGAACACTGTCCAACCATCTTGTCCTCTGTCGTCCCCTTCTTCTTGTGCCCACAATCTTTCCCAACATCAGGGTCTTTTCCAATTCAGCAAAAATCCACCCAGACGCCATTTTTGAAGCCTGATTCCTGGACGTGTCCAGGAAAACCAAGACATATGGCAGCCCTAAAATATTGGAAGCCTATTTGATTTATTATTTCTGTTGTCTTTCTCCTCTCTTTCCTTCCTTCCTTCCTTTGCCTTCCTCTCTTTTCTTTTGTTGTTTCTCTTTCTTTCTTTCTTTCTTTCTTTCTTTCTTTATTTCATTTCTTCTAGATATAATTGTATTATATTGTGAAAACTTTAATAACTATTTTTGGGGGAGTGTGGAAAGGAATACTAGAAGCTGCTTTGTACTGAGTCAGACCATCTAGCATAGTACTGGCAGCCGCTGTCTAATGTGCCAGGATGTTGGAGATGCTGGGGATTGAACCTGAGACCATCCTCATGCAAAGCATATGCTCTACCACTGAGCTACGGACCTTCCCCATTGGCCTTAGTTCTAAGAGAGTCTATAGCCCTCTTGATGGCAGGAAAAATCCTGGACAGTGCAGCCTACAAGTGCCTTGCTGTATTTGATATTTCTGTTCTTTCGCTTTAAAGGGCCATTTTGCTCATTAACCTTTTCCTATGTGAAGAGCTCTTCTGTGTAGGAAAATGAAAGAGAACCTATTAATGTCCAATCTGTAGCCACAAGTTTTTCAAACCTAAATAGCTCTACTGCTGTATCCCTGAGATGCTCTTTTGAGCTCATAAAGACCCTTGTGCCCTTTCCAGAGGATCATCTTAAAGGTGACTCGAGATCTGCTATCAATAACAAATGGGGAAGATTTCCTCGGAGAATTTCCGTAAGGAGGCATAAAGATAAAATGTCAAGCCACATAGACTTGAAAGTGGCTTTTGTATTCATTACCGATGTCAAGGCTTCCACTCTCTGGAAACTTAATTCTAAAGACATTCTGGCTGCCTCCTCTAGGGCAAAGCCCTCACACTGTGTGACTTGTATAGAAAGCACACGCATACAGGAAAAACTACAAAAAGCACATTATGATCCAGTCAGCAGTTTAAAACATTTTGGAAAATGGCAGTATGAAATTCATGGAAGCAATTTAAAGGCAGCCATTTAAAATTCAACCCACTGTCTCAGTGAAATATGGCCTGAAAGAGAGGGGGTTTCGGCACCCGCTTAAGAACCTGTACTGATGGATCCCTTGGGATGCAGTTCGAAAAACATGAGGCCACTACCAAAAAGGCGCCGTCATCATCAATGCCCATGTATCAGATAGGTGATAGATTTATAAACCTTCAAAGACAATCTTAAGGCCTGAACCAAATTCATATGGTGTGTGGTGGTGTTGTTTGTTTGTTTTAATTAGTTTTTATTAAGGTTTTTGTGTTACAAAGCAAACAGATAGACAGGGAAAGGTATCTTTTGCTCTATAAGAGCAGTCTTTTGCTCTATAAGAGCAGTATCTTTTGCTCTATAAGACGCACCAGACCATAAGACGCACCTAGTTTTTGGAGGAGGAAAACAAGAAAAAAAATATTCTGAATCCCAGAAGCCAGAACAGCAAGAGGGATCGCTTCGCAGCGAAAGCAGCAATCTCTCTTGCTGTTCTGGCTTCTGGGATAGCTGCGCAGCCTGCATTCGCTCCATAAGACGCACACACATTTCCCCTTACTTTTTAGGAGGAAAAAAGTGAGTCTTATAGAGCAAAAAATACGGTACATCTATAGTCTCCACTTTCAATTCATGGTTTTCTTCACAGTTTGTTTACATTTGCGGAGAGACACTTTTGTCATAGACATCTTGCAGTTGGGGGAAAGGAGAGGGTGGGGAGAGAGATGGGGGTATTGTTCTTTGGCTGAACAGATTCATATGGTAAAAAGTCATCAATCAACTGGCAGATGTGGGGCTCCCAGATGTTGAACTCTTAACTCCCACCAGCCCCAGCCAACACCAACTAGAGTACAGTCAAGAATGATGGGAGCTGGAGTCCAGCCCTAGCTCTGATTTAGGGCTTAAAAGCCATTACCAGCACTTTTAAATTTGGCCAAGGTAGCAACTGCCTTTCTATCCTTTGTGCATTCTAGATTATAGCCTGGACATGGATGGCTGAGAATTATTTAATTATGAGCTGAATTGTTGGCGTGCTCTTTTGTAACATGCATCTGTAAGATGTCTTTTATACTCTAGCCTTGCAATTGACTTGGTTTTATTTCATGCTGATGAGTTTTATTAATATTGCCTCTAGTGCGTCTTTTGTCTGTGTGTTCTGTTTTTGTTATGCTCAAGGACCAAAACAAATGAACTTGAACAGAACTGAAAGTAGGATTAAATGAGAGAAATCCTGTTTTATTTTCCAGATTTGTGATGCGATAGAACAGCTCCAGGAAGCTCTGAAACTGTGCAAGGATGATATGAATTCCCTTCATTTGCTGGCCCTCCTTTTTTCAGCGCAAAAGCACCACCAGCATGCGTTGGATGTCATCAACATGGCCCTGGCAGAATATCCAGACTGCTTTAAGTAAGCAACGTTAAGAGAACGCATGCAATGTCTTACAGTATTAAGGAGTCTAAAGCAGGGTTTCCCAAAATTGGTCTCCAGCTGTTGTTGGACTACAACTCCCATTATCCCTAGCTAGCAGGACCAGCAGTCAGGGGTGATGGGCATTGTAGTCCAAAACCAGCTGGAGACACAAGTTTGGAAAACCCTGGTCAAAAGTATTTGTACATTTAGGGGGATGCATCTTTCGTTGCCATAAGTATGGACATCTGGGCAAAGATACAAATTTGGGTGTAGGGCATATTTTGTTTGTATGGCGGGGAAAGGTTGCAGCATTTGGGACTTTTGGAAAAAGAAAGTCGAGAAAGGGCAGAAGTAATAGAAGTGTACATGCTTGTGCACTGTGTGCTTAAAGTTGATACAGAGACATTTCTCTCTCTCTCATTCATAACACTAGAACTGGAATACCGTCTAGACCAGGGGTTGTCAACCTGATCCCTACAGCCCACTAGTGGGTGTTTCAGGATTCTAGGTGGGCGGTAGGGGGTTCTACAGCACAATTTGAATCCTCCTTCCATCGAGAACTGGTGGGCGGTAAGGAAATTTTACCATCAAGAAAGATGCATTAGTGGGCGGTAGGTATAAAAAGGTTGACTATCCCTGATCTAATCCAACCCCCTAGAATCTTTTGCCCAACGTGGGACTCAAACCCATGACCTTGAGATTAAGAGTTTCATGCTCTACAGGCAGTATTTTTCTGAACGCCAGTTGTTGGGGGACATGAGTGGGGAGGGTGCCGTTGCCCTTAGTCCTCCTTTGAGACTTCCCATAGGTATCTCTTTGGCCCCTGTGGGACCAGAATGCTAGGCTTTATAGGCCTTCAGTCTGAGACAGTAGGACTTTTCTTACAGGATCCAAGACTCTGTCTTCAGCAACTCCAGTAAAAGGACCTCAAATAGCAGAGCAAGGAAGAGCCTTTGTGTTAGATTTTGGAGAGAGCTAACTGCTAAATTTCCGGGTGCTCTGCTGTTCTGAGCTGATTCTGTATTAGGCAACTCCTTGGGCTTCACATATCTGTCCATACGTGTTTGGTGCATATCTGTTTATTGCATATCTAAAACATTGACGTGGTGCCTTGGAGAGTAAACTCTTTCCTGGGAGCTTGCAATGAAAGCCCAGAAATGCAGTGCGGTGGAGCACAGGGCAGTTCAATGCAGAAAACAAGGGCAGCAGGTAATAAAACAGAGGAAGTGTGGGTGGTGGGAAGGTCAAGCACTCCTCTCCCATAGTGTTTCTCTGTTCCGAACTTTGCCTCTCAAAGCTATTTGCGTGTCGAGGTCCCCAAGCCACCCCCTAAATAAATCACAATTCACACAGTATTTTCGTTTAAGGTTTTTGGCATAATTTTGGCCACAACTTTATTAAAATACATAATGTGAGTAGTTGCTTAGGCATTGGTTACGACTATCTGTCTCCACCCAGGGACAGAACTGACTTCCGCGACCCTGCTAAAGTCAGTAAGGGAAAACATTTGGGGAGAGGATGGAGCTGGGCGCCAGACCCTGACCTCTCCTCGCATGCTCCCAGGGGCTTGCGCGGCCCATGCCCCTTACCAGGGATTCGGATAAAAGCATGGCGAGCCCCTGGATTCCTATAATGGAATTCCCTTGCAGCAGCAGCATTGGAGGGGCAGGCACAGCCAGTCCTTACCCCTCCACCAACCAGTTTTAACCAATGTCCAACCGCAACCTTACAAGTTGTGACAATATGCTATGCAGTAGGCAAAAACCAAATGGCACCAGCCAATCAGCCAAATGGACAAAATTCCTACCAGGCCCCTGCCCTAAAAGCAGACGACCCCATGACAGGCATAGCAAGGTTAGACACACAAGCCCTAACTTAGGGAGGGTGGGCAGGTGATGTGATGCACGCAGCAAAAGGGAATGTTAAATGCTGCCTGCTAAGTATATAAACCCTCAAGCCATCTCACAAGTTGGCAAGATCATAATTTGCCCAACAACCCAGAAAAGCCAATCACAATCCTGGACATTTAAACAATCCCACCCAGCAACCAAAAGGGGGGGGTCCTGTTAGACCCCACCGCAACACATGCTCTCCATGAAGGAGAACACGCTTCGTTAAAGTGCCTCTTAGCGCATGTTTGCTCAGCCCCTGAAAGCGGTGGTGACGCTGGAGAGATTGAGGAGCCCGTGTGAATAAATCAAGGGTGGGTGGTTTGCGAAAGTGCAGCCAATTAAAATGCGCATAGTGATAATAATGAAAAGTCAGCGGTCCAGAAACCAGCACAGCAAAGTGCAGGGGAGAGAGGCTGCAAGGTCTCTGGCTACGAAACATAAATGCGTACTTCCTGAAACCGAGCCTTGCCTTTGCTACAAACCAGATTTAAATCTCCTATTGCTCAGGCTGCCGTGAAGGAAAACAGTAGCTCAAAATTGGCACAGAATGGTTTATCACAACAAGATAAGCAGGTTTGATGTGGTGATTGTGGAGCAGTATTTAAACAGGTCAGGAAATAGGTTTCAAATTTTCCTTCACTTGGCCTGGGTTGTGTCTGAGCTGCCAATTTAATGAGAACTGCAACCGAAAACACAGTTTGCGACTTGGGAGAGGGAGGATCATGGCGCCTACACCCAGGGCCGGATTTAGGTTTGATGAGGCCCTCAGCTACTGAAGGTAATGGGGCCCTTTATATGTCCAGCTGTCCTTTGTCAACAACAAATTGTCGCTGTTTTTGTGTGTGTTGAATATATGCTATATGCTGAGGGACGCAGGTGGCGGTGTGGGTAAAAGCCTCAGCGCCTAGGGCTTGCCGATCGAAAGGTCAGCGGTTCGAATCCCCGCGGCGGGGTGCGCTCCCGTTGCTCGGTCCCAGCGCCTGCCAACCTAGCAGTTCAAAAGCACCCCCGGGTGCAAGTAGATAAATAGGGACCGCTTACTAGCGGGAAGGTAAATGGCGTTTCCGTGTGCTGCGCTGGCTCGCCAGATGCAGCTTTGTCACGCTGGCCACGTGACCCGGAAGTGTCTCCGGACAGCGCTGGCCCCCGGCCTCTTGAGTGAGATGGGAGCACAACCCTAGAGTCTGGCAAGACTGGCCCATATGGGCAGGGGTACCTTTACCTTTATATGCTATATGGTAATTTATGGACCTAACAGGTATCTAAAGCCATTTGCACATAACAAAATATGTATTTTATCAAAGTAATTGTTTTTTATCTTATATTTTGGAAATGTACATCCCATTTTTTCCCCTTAAATTTTTTTTGGGAGCCCCCAAGAGAGTGGGGCCCTAATCTATAGCTTGTTTAGCTTATACATAAATCCCGCACTGTCTACACCTGAGTGGCAGTGGCATGGATGGAGGCAGATGTTGAACAAGAGAATTTTTCATTCATAAATTTCTCATTTCGTGAATCTGAGTTGCATTTCCAAAGAAGGTTTGTGACCAATGCCATCACTCTTCACAATTTGGACTCTGTGCCTACTGTATTTTAAGGTTGGCAATGTTTTGTGCACCCCGCAGTGAAGCCTTCAGAGTGTATTTGTGTCCGCAAAGAGATAGATTGGCATACTGATAGTCATAGCATTAGTATATCCTCCAAATATTTACCAAGGACAGCCCCGAGTTTATGCTTCCTGTCCCTAAGCAGAGTCTTGCTCAATCAGACCAAAGAGCAAATTGTGTTGCCCATAGTGGCCAACCAGATGCCCCTGGTAAGCCCACAAGTGGGGCATGGGTTCAATGACCCTCTCCTGCACTTGTTCTCCACCAACTGTTATTCAGAGGCACCCTGTCACTGATGATGGAGGTAAAATATGAGCCATCTTGACTAGGTGAGTTGGTAGATCCCTGTCAAAGCACTATCTTCAGTTTACCTTTTGAGGAATTCCTTATTACAGTGTTTAAAGTTCTTCTGCATTTAACTCCTTCCCCAGGATCCCTTAGAAGCTAAATATCAGAGTGAGGAGCTGACACATTTTGGCATCTAGCACGTAGGCATATAAACACATGTCATCTCGAGGCATGTGCAGTGCAGTTTTGACTGCAGATAACCTATTTTGGACAATTGGGTTTAAGTGCGTCTTGAGCAAGAACGAAAGCTCTTCTGGCTTTTACAGAGCGGCTGCCGGGACCATATAACACCGGTCTTGAAAGACCCACATTGGCTCTTAGTACATTTCTGAACACAATTTGAAGTGCTGGTGCTGACCTTTAAGCCCTAAACGGCCTTGGCCCATTATACCTGAAGGAGCGTCTCCACCCCCATCATTCAGCCCGGACACTGAGGTCCAGCGCCAAGGGCCTTCTGGCGGTTCCCTCACTGCATGAAGTGAGGTTGCAAAGAACCAGGCAGAGGGCCCTCTTGGTAGTGGCGCCCGCCCTGTGGAACGCCCTCCCATCAGATGTCAAAGAAATAAACAACTATCTGACTTTTTAGAAGACATCTGAAGGCAACCCTGTTTAGGGAAGTTTTTATGGTTCGATGTTTTATCATGTTTTTAATATTCTGTTGGTAGGCGCCCAGAGTGGCTGGGGAAACCCAACCAGATGGGTGGGGTATAAATAGTAATAATAGTAACAATAGTAATAGTAGTAGTAGTGCTAGTAGTAATAAGATTTATCCAGCACTATGAACAGAGTAGAGACATTAGCAGCTGCTTGTGGAGAGCTGGGTAACCTTTTCAACAGGAGAATAATTTTCTAGTTATTTCAGTAACATGGTAGCTTATGATCACACTGCGCATTTCACAAGACCCTGTTAATGTATGAAAATTAGGAGGGAGGAGACTTATGCACCGACAGATAGATAGATAGATAGATAGATAGACCCTGATAACCAGTCTTGGCTTAGTCAGGTTGACACGGAAGACAAGATTTAGATGGGTGTTGCTTTATAGCCCCAGGTTAATTTCCGAAGGAGACTCTTACTGGCCATTGGCTCCTCTTGCCCCTTTATAGAGGGTGATGTCAGTGAACTGGACTCTGCACCACTTATGCCTTG